TTCTGACTACACCCCTCTCTCTGCCTTCGAGAACCTTGCCTTGAATTTTAAACCACAAATTTAACACTGGATTATATTATATAAATATATTATGTAACTCTCTAATTTGCTTCTGGGAGGCAAGCTGTCTTTCCAAATAAAACACCGGATCCTAAAAACCCTAACTTTAATCACCCATTCTACTTATCCCAGTGCTAGGCACCCAACAGGCAAGCCAGTCAGTGTTCAATGTTTAGAAATCAGAGGAATTCAGGAGATATTAAAATAATGATTAGCTCTACAAACCGGTAGCAGGAGCCCTTCCCTGCTCCAAATCATATGTTGGTGGAAAAGCAAAAACAACCAAGTACATCACGGGTCAAGAAAAAACTCAAGTCACATTAAACATTACCATATATTAACCCTGTGGGTTTTCCTGGGTTTGTATATAAAACTCCGCAAAGACTTTTTTTTAAGTCTTTTGGGTAAGGCAGGATAAGCACAAGAGTATCAAAAAAATAATTTGCGTTCTAAAAAGAGAGACAAGAGAAAGGGCAAGAAATAATAAAGAGTAACAAAGATAGTGAGCCAAATTCACAAGAAAGCCATGTGGTTCAGTGCAAACTGGGAGCTGGCAGAACGCAGCCCTGAGTTAGGAACAATGGAGTGCCACCTTTCTTTTACCCAGCCCTCAGGGGGCCATCAGTGAGCTAAACTGAACTACTCATTTGCAGAAGATTGGGTTGGTAGGGGAAGAGCACAGATGAGGGTAAATTAAGCTAGCCCTATTTTCTCTGGCTCTTTTTTAAATTCTTTAGCTAAAAAAAGACTCCAAATAATAGCATCAGCTGCTAATCTAAAACGTTATCTGCTTGTCCTGGCCCACCAGCCTGCTTCCTGAGTGCTTTGGGCTATAGAGTGAGGAAATGGAGAAAAGATAAAAGTTTGTTTAAAATTAGAAGTACTAAATTTTAGAGGTGGCATAACCTCAAGAGATGATGTGGCCCGCGGACAAAGACTTTGGATAGAGAGGGGTCTTACTCTAGTGATGAGGCCCAAACAGGTTAACTGTTTTGCCTAATGTCATTTATGTAGACAAAAGAAGAGATTCTCTTCTGCCCCTAACCAAGGCATGTATCCTTCATAAAGATAAAGTCTTCCTGGAAGCCAATGGCTCCAAACATGAACGTAGACAACTAGAAAATGGAGGAATCGTTCTTATCCCTCTGATTCTCTACAGGCCAAGTCTACCTTACCTTAGAAGGCGACACTAACTGCTAAGATACCCCCAGCACAAGCATCGATGGCAGTGGCAGGCATTACACCCTGGGCCGATGAGATAATGCCCTAGGGTAAAAATTTGGGCATTGGCTAAAAGATGAATGGTTAAGAAGGTGAGCCCTGGAGTCAGACTGTCTGAGTTCAAATACCATCTTCACCACTTGATAACTGACCAGCTTATTTGACTTCCCCAAGCCTCGATTTCCTCATCAGTAAAATGAGAACAGCACGGTATATAGATACTGGGAGGCTCGCATAAGAGCCAGACCAAATATTTAGCACAGTACCTGGCAGGAACTCAGTGTTCAATGAATGTTAGCTAATTCTAGTCATACTCTGCATTTTTCTATAGCTTTTTCATAGATATTTTCTCTTAAACATTCACAGTATCAAGTTCTGATTCTATCCAATGGAAGCCTATAGAAATGGTTGATAATTGGTTTTTCCCCTACCAAAATAAAAGGCACTTATGCAATTTTATTTGATTAAAACTATCACCGTAGGGCCAGCCCAGTGGTGCAGCAGTAAGTTGGCACATTCTGCTTCAGCGGCCCAGGGTTCACTGCTTTGGATCCCAGGTGCCGACCTACACACCACTTATCAAGCCATGCTGTGGCAGGCATCCACATATAAAATAGAGGAAGACAGGCACAGATGTTAGCTCAGGGCCAGTCTTCCTTAGCAAAAAGAGGAGGATTGGTGGCAGATGTTAGCTCAGGGCTAATCTTCCTCAAAAAAAAACAAAACAAAACCAACCACCGTAGTTACTACCACCATTGCTTTTACTACTACGTCTTCTATTGTACCACCTGGATTACTCCACATCTTTTTTTCTCTCCTCTTTCTGTCCTTCTTCCCTCTCTCAGGATTCCACTTGCTCTCTCATCAACCTGGGCTTTTATTTCCTTTGTAAAAATATAAATTGTAGATTAAATCCCATCTCTAGTACTATCTGGCTGTGTGATGTTGGGCAGGTTTCTTAACCTCTCTGACACTCAGTTACTTATATATAAAACGGGAATGATTAGAGTATTTAACACAAGACTATCACGAGGATTAAATAAAATAATATGTAAAATAATACTCATAAAGTGCCTATACATGATAAACACTGTAACTTTGAGCTATTTCTCAATTTTTCATCATTATAATGGATGTTTGGATTTGGAGCAGTACTAAATTCTCTTCCTGCACTAAAAAAAGAGAGAAAAATCATACTTGTCAAATACCTTGTATGAAAATCTAACTATATAAATAGTTTAGAATATTAACCAAAAAGTTCATCTCTGCAAGCCTCATTTTTCTGAATGTCAGGACTATCCTCTATCCAGACACCCAACTGCTAATGCTGCAGGGGATTATTTATTTTAAAAGAATATCTGCTCAAACATTTTGGGAAATGATGTGGTAAGTTTCCACCAGGAAAGGGCCATGATTGACTTATGACATAGCCACAAATGAGAGCAGTTTGGGAGGAGGGGATGGACAAAGAAGGAGCATATGTCCCCCACCCTCAGCTCCTAGCTGGAACCACGCAGATCCACTGCGAGGGGCTTCTGGCACATTCAAGGCAGTGGCAGTGGAAGGACGGAGGAGGGAAAAAGATAAAAGTATTGCTTTAATGGGTTTTCTTTCTCATGACCTGCATCAATTTTGTTTTATGAAAACAGCTCCTTTAAAGCAATTTGGATAAATCTAAGTTAGAATTTAACCTCCCTCACCTGTTCCCAAAAGAGGGCAAGAAGGTGGAGAAACCAAGAGAAAACAGGGGGACCTTGACTAGGAACAAGGTGGACATGCATACTAACGATTTCCTGATGTGTCAAAGTCCTTATTCCACAACCAGTGTAGCGTTCTTGGGCTAAGGCAGGCACACGGTTTTAAAGGAAGCTTCAGACTAACCCACCTGATTCTCAGAGGTCAATAAGACTTACTGCACACTCTGAGCCCCACCTCTCAGACCTTACTTTACAATGACATGGAGCAAGAAGTCCATATTATACTATTCTTCCCTTCTCCCAATTTCCATAATAAGCAATCGAAAGAGGGAGAGAAACAGATGAAGATACAGCCCACAAAACCTGAGAGAGACTGTCCTTGCAAGGACTGCTGTCTTCAGCAGGAACGAAGACACCAGGCTGGCAGCAAAATATGCCATGTATGTGATGCTTCTAATTTTACAACCCAATGGTTCCAACAAAGAATGGGGTGCAGCTGGCAGGGGAAACTCAGTCCACCTTTAGTGTCTGGGATGTTCCAACTTGGACAACAATTAGTTTAGTGGACTGAGAGGCCCATCTCTGATTCAGCTTTACAAGAGCTTTGATTCTCTGGCCAAGCACATACTGCTTGTTGGCTACACGGGAAATACAAAGGCAGTGGCAGCATGAGTTGGCAAGGGGCTTGCCTGAGTGGGTTACTGGCAATAGGAAGTACACATAGAAGGCTTAGAAACAAGGACAGGCTCTGCTCTGGAATGATAAACATACTCAACTATCATAGTCTTAACTCTGCATATCTCTATGGGCCTCTAGAAAGAAAAAAGAAATAAAATACCTAAATGGGCTAAGCAGTGGTGTCATGGGAGGACAACTAGAAATGGAAATAGAAAATCTGACTTCTAGCTCTAGTTATGCTACTGACTTCTTTGTGTGGCCACATAACACTTATATTCTGTGGGCTCTAGATGGTTGCTTTCAGGTCAAGTAACCATATATCTCTAAGTCTCAGTATCCTTATCAAGAAAAGATACAGTCTAAGAGTATTTACCTCATGGTACAGAGAGAAGATTGAGAGGATCTATGGCAAGAGCCCAGCACAGTGCTTAGCATAGAGTAAGTCTCCATAAAGTTTATCGGTTCATATGACTACCTTATAAGGCAAGTGGAATGAATGAGCTCTATGGTACCTTGTAGCCCTAACATTGTTTTGACTCTAAACTTTGGTGAGATGAATGAGAAGGTGGTCTGGGCATGCTGGCTAAGAAATTTAGGTTCATAATTTGGAAAGCAAAGGCAAGTTTGCCATGGCATCTATATAAAGATGATGTTTATGTTTTGTAATCTTAAGCTAATGTTGATTATTGCCAGACAAGTCAACTGGCAGGTTAAAATAATGATGACAGTGCTGGAAAACACTGCACAAATAGAACACAGCCATTTTCATATGGTTGTAGTCACACACTGAGATGACTGACAGCTATAAATTCCTAGGGCTGGAAGAAGTCCTGGGTTCTTCTAGGTTCCCCTGGCAAATCACTCACTCACTGATGAAGAGTCACTGAATAAGTCAAGAACCACTTACACCTGATTTATTACTGTCATTTGAATAGTGTTCCTTGAAGATGGGCCTACAACAGACTCCATCTACAAATATTCACAGATGACTACCTCACTAGAGTTTGAATGGGGCTCTTCCTATATATTTTGTGACTTTGCATTTCCTTTCCAATTTCCAATATACAATAAGACCTCCATACCATGGCAAGCCCAACAGATCAAACGACAAAACAAAAGCATTCCCAACGCTTATGGGTCAGGGGATGGAAGTCATTCCAGTAGAAAGTGTTGCCTCCTGGTAAACCCAACCCATCTTTCCTAGTTCCCCCGAGTTCTGTAGGCTGGAGCTGGCCCACCCAGAGTGGCACCGCTAAATTCTACACATTCTATTAGAAATTCAAGTGTAGACAGTATCCTCAACTAGACCAAACTATTAGATATTAATGTTCAGACAACACCTACCTCACTCCAGACCAGCATGGTACCGAATATGACCTGTAACCCATCAAAGAAATTGTCCCCTATGATGATCACAGTCGCGCCTCCCGTCGTCCATCCTTCACTCGGGCTGATGGCTTTGATACAGGGAGTAGCTGCTTTTCAACACACATGAAAAAGAGAAGGAGTCTTCTGTTAGAACCAAACTTTAATGATGGGAGACTTGAGAAAAAGAAAAAAAAAAAATCTTTTATCTTTTCACTAACAGAAAGTCCCTCAAGATCTCAGCATTTCCTAGCCATATTATTAGGACCTGAAACCTAAGGGTGCCATCTCAGTTTTTAAAAGCATTCTTTTCATTGTTTCTATTGAGATACACATATTTTACCCAAATCGTTTTCAAACCTGAAATCTTATGAAATAAAACATAGAAGCAAAATTTAATTTATGAAATGCTAAAGATTAAAAAAAAAGGTAACTTTTGGAAACACACTGGAAACCTTACAGAATTGCTTCATAATTACATATATTTCCTGAAAAGAAAATCTGTAGATTTTTAGATAAACATTTCTTCCCAATGGAAAGCAAGAAAGAGAGGAGGCTGGAATAAGAAATTATCCTTGCTCCATGCCTTCTATCTGTAACACTAACACAGCAACATTCCTCATTAAAAATTACTGAGATTGTTTTCAATAAATGTCATGGATCCCATTTTCTAGATGCAAAGTATGCAGGTCACTCAGGGTGAATTATGTAACCAAGTAGCTGAGTCAGGGCTGAACCACAGACAGTCCCATGACCTTGGCTTTGTAGTCATTCTCAGGCATAAAACTCTAGAATGGACTTTTTCAAAATTTCATATCTCTTCTCTTTCCACTACAAATGGCCCTCGGAGATGGGAAACAATTTGCAAATACTGTGATGCCAAACAGACTGGAGGTAGTTTGCCTGATGAGCATGGCATGTTTTCAACAGAATTACTGGCCGTAAATGTAACTGTAGGATTATGTCTTTGAAATCTCTCAGAGGGCACCTTCATGCCACCAAGGATTTTTAACTTCACAATGCCATACTGTTGTCCTCATGATTACTTTTATAAACAACAGCAAAGCAAAATTCTAAAGCAAAGGAGACATTGCACAAGGAGAGGAAATGAGACCCTCCTCTTTAATAAAACATTTATTAAGTAGCCAAGACTGACTTTCCAAATACTGAAGCCAATGAGAGCACCAGTTAATTTTAACGGGAAAAAACTGGCAAAAAATTATTGGACTTTGCCAAATTTGGCAAAACGTCATGCTTTAACTTTTGCAAGAAGAAAAGAAAATATTAAGCTCAGCCCGGTGGGACCATTGCTCACGTGCCACCACACAAACAAGTAGAATGGGTTTGATTTTGATTCAAATTAAACTTATAAAATTGCACACAGAAATCAGGAAATATCCAAACTAAACATTTCATGTTGGCTGAACTCAGAGTAATGCATTTAAAACTAAAACTGGGCAGTTCAGATGCCTTTTCTCTCCTCCACTTTCTCCCAAAAACAAAATAATTAATCAAGAAAATGTAAACCATTCATGACTTGACAATTCTCATCCAATTTTTAACACACAAAGGTTGTGACCAATGTTCCACAGGCATAGGACTTTTTCTTAAACAAAATTCTTCTTTAAAAGTAAAAATGTTTAAATGCATGATTGAGGACTCCCAAACCAATGGTCGAACATGATATATGATTTCAAGTGATTTATAAGAGAAATAACTATGTTTAACAGCCATGTAAAATTGTCAAAACAAAAGCAGTTTGGAAACATTCTAGTTAATGTCTCAAAATCTTAATTCTTAATTTCTAACTCAGTTTACTTAGTTGCTAGGGTGGAGCAGAAAAGGTGTCGCTAACTCCTAGGATACTTCTAAGAAGAACAGGATATTGGTTTAACTGAACTGGTCCTGAAAGAGACCTTCCTGATGGCAAAGTGTGGAATCTAATGGTATCATTAAACACTGACCCAGTGATCACCGTCATAAACCACGGAATAGTCTTGGTGTTTATATCCGTATTAGCTTTGGGATTTATTTTAATTTTTTAAATTTCATTTTTTAATCACACAAGTATATTTCTTTAGATACATATGGTCTCCTTCAGGCTTTCTCATCATTGCCCAGAAGGAGGCCGAAGGGTGTGCTGGTGTGTCTTTGAGAGACTCTCCTAAAGATGATACAATAGCATAGGGAAGACCAGCTGGCTTTAGACTTGGCCCCTCCCTCTTCTTTCCATTTGCTGTTTGTAGGTTACAAAGGCATGTAAGTGCGTGTGTGTGCGTGTGTGTGTGTGCGCGCGAGCTTTCAAACACTTCCTAAGGTAAGTGATAATGTTTTCAAATTTTGTGAGCAATTGTTCAGAAACAAAGCTATATGATTAACTAGTCAGAGAAAAGAAAGAGCATCAAGCTTCCAGAGATAACCTGTGAGGAGACAAGACGCTATCTTCCTAGTTTTTTGGAGGAAAAAAGCTTTGAAGGAAGTACTCCAGGAAAAGAGTGACATACCCTGGATGCATCCTAACTCTATACTTAACACCATCCACTACTCCTGCTTAGAGACTAGACGCCATTCTTAGAACAGGTAAGTCATGCAGCCCTTTCTGAGTTTAGACCTCAAAGGATTCTAAAGATGCTTCTATCTATCTATACGTCCTATTAGTCTTGAGAAGAAGCTCTGTGGTACTTCCCCACTGGGAAGTTTGGAAAATATGTAAAGGAATCATGGGCGGTCCCACTGTGAGAGAGGAGCAGGGAGGGGATGTTACTGGCATTTAGTACCTGGAGATCAAGGATGCTAAGTATCTAACAATACATGGGATAGTCGCCCAAAATGAAGAACTCTAAAATGTCAATAGTGCAAGGTAGAAAACACTGTGACTAGCTAAAGGGATCAGGCCCAGGAACAGTTGTTAAGAACTCACAGATCCACACAGGCCAAGTCAAGAAACACAAACGAATAATGCAACTCAGGATTTCAGAACAAGCACGAGATGGATGGCCACTGACACTCAGAATTGGGGAGGCAATAGGAACTGGTGGGGACGCTGGTCAATTACAGAATACCTGCCCCATCTACAGGTAGCAGCTGCTAGTCAGCTCCAGTCATTGGTAACTCCACACAAACCCAGGCCCAGTGTGTCTGGTCTTCCAATCTTTTGAAAGAAGATGGGAACCCAGATTTTTATGTGAAATTTCCTAATCTTTAAACGTTGGCAACTAATTGAATATTTTTTTAAATGTGTAGGCTAAACAAAATGTTTATGAGATAGATTTAATTCATAGAGTACCACTTTACATTTTTATCCTAGTCATAAACAAACTTGCCAGATTAAAAGCAGCTCAGGAAATACTTGCAAATATGCCCAAAACTACAGATACCCAAACGTTCACAGTAGTGTTGACAATAAAATATGCAAGAGTCTAGGTGCCCCCAACAAGAGACTGGTTAAATAAACTATGGTACATTCGTACTATAGAATATTGAGTGTCATTAGAATAGATGAAAAAAAATTTCTATAAATTGACATGGAAAGATGTCAAAATACGTTAGTAAGTAAAAAAAGCAATTTGTACTCCAATGGATAGTGTGATCCTACTTACTTAAAACAAGTGATATATGTGAGCCTGTGTGTGCATGAGTGTGTGTGTGCGTGTGTGTACTTATGTGTGAACAGGTATGATAAACAAAGTTCTGGAAGGATATACACCTACTGTTCCCAGTGGGTACGTATGAAAAAAGACTGTGAATACAGTGGGGGTTGACAGAGGAGGGAGACTATTAAATTTTGCTTTACAGATGTCTGTATGGTTTGAATTTTTTTCAATAAGCACATATTAAGGTTATATGTTACAATAATAAAAAATTAAGTGAGAGCAGAGCATTTAATTCTGTGAGAGATAAAGGTTGTACTTTTTAAAGCAAATTGATACTAATTAAAAAAAAAAAAATCCCAGCTATACTAACAGACCCTGAGACTCTCTCTGCTTTTTGGGTAAGTTTTCTCTGAGAAAGCTCAGAGAACATCTGAAGCAGCCAAGGACTTGTTTTTCTTTCACTCAGGATATCCAGAGACGCAGAGGGAAGACAAGGAGTAAGAGAGTTTTTAATAGTCACAGTGGATGTACTCAACAGAATTTGAAGGTGTAAAGATTTATGAAAGAGTTCAATCCAGCCCAAGAGTGTAATCACCAATACAATTCTTTCTCCAAGAAAATATTATGGAATAGAGAGGGAGAGAGGATTTGAATACAAAACCACTTTCACCAGCCAAATCTTGATTTAATTAATAAAAGATTCTTTCTTCCTCACCAATGAATTTTCACACTGTAAGTATCCACAAGGACAGTAAGCCAATTCCTGCTTCTAAATCTCATTAAAAATAAAAGTTTGGATTTTGAGGTGGGGCTTTTTTGCGTCTCTTTTCTTTTTTTTAATCTCTCCCCCCACCCCCAACAGCCACCAAAACAGAGGAGATTTTCCTTCCTTCAGACTATGACAATAACATGATTACCCCACCACAGTTTAGCATAATGGCTCTGAAATGCTCATGGCACACTGCAGAGTTAAAGTGGAAATTATTAGGTAGCTCTTCTTTGTTATAATAATGATCACTCTACAAATAAAAGCTCTTCTCCCAAAGGTACTGCAAGGCACAAAATGCTAATTCTGAAGATTATGTGTGCGCTTTTATTAAATATTACTATGCCCTGCCTGTCTGAGGGCTTCTCTGCCCTGATTGTTTTATGAGTACCATGTTAATGTCATTCCCATCTTGCTAGCAGCAGGCACACACTTTAGCGTTTGTATGAGAGTTGATCAAAGGCCACGTGCTGGGGGAATTGCTGAGAAAACACGGACAAGCGATAAAAATCTAACAGATTAATTGGTTTAAATTTCATTTCAGGGTGTTGAACTTTGGCTCGGGACTCTAATACTACACCGTGAGTCAGGGCCTAATTACCAGATTTCCAATTTGCTTCTGAACAATGGTCGTGGTGAGAAGGAAAAGAGAGGGAAGAATGAGGAAAAAAAAAAAGAAACCGTTCAGCCTCCAGTATATATTTAACAACTAATGTTCTGTGTGCAGACAAGTGCACCAGGGGACATTTGCTAT